GAGATTCAATGAAATAGAGAGAACGTGTACGGCACGAAAAGACACTTCTGGTTCTGATCGTAGTACAGTCGACGAAACTTGCTTCCTGCGCTGAGGCGCCAATGGCAAGAAGCCGGTTACGCCGCTGATGGGCAGTTTGTGGACTCATCTCTCGTCTTATGCCTCCGGTCTTTCGCTGCGAGTTTCGCAGTACTGTCAGGCTTCGTCTCTCGATGTTTCGTGCTTTGCAACCTGGCTTAAAGGTGACTGGGTGATTCAGGACTCCATGCAAGCCATCACCGGCAACACCAATGCATCGCATATGCCACGGCCTCAAGGGTGGGATCTTCGTTGCGCAATACAGGGCACAGGACATGGCATGCAGAACACTCCCTGGACGTTTGGGAGATACCGGGGCAGGTCATCTCTTGAGACGCAAACGACATGGAAGGCATATGAAGGAATATGAAAATTGCCAAGGATAGTTATGAGAGAATTATTGAACAACACACGCCCATGCGTAATGAACTCGGCAACTACTCTATATCTACTCTATATCGCTATCGTCTTCTTCTGCACCAGGCCTGTAGCTTTCGTCTGAGATGTCTGAATCACTATGATCGTCGTCTAACTTCCCTCCTTCCGACAGGTCTGGGTCTTCGCCAGATTCAACGTCAGACATGTCAGAACGGTAAGACTCGTCGTCCTCGCCGTCAAACAGGTCCTCGTCCACGTCACACATTGAGTGCCCTCCTGCCTCCAGCTCGTCGTCGCTGAGCGTGTCGAGAAGTAGCTCGGCCGCATCTGCAGAGCTCATCTGGAAGACGGCCCGTGTCCGGTGCATGGTCGCCTCATGAGTGTCGGGAAACAAGATTCGTACGCAGCAGTACATGTATAGCATCTTTCTCGACACCGAATCATCGCAGAGATCGAAAGTCGCTGGCAATGTCCCGGGGTGAACGGCGTCTTCCGGCGCATGGATTTCCCAAATCCGCGCGGAGAACATCAAAACCTGTTCGAGCACTTTGATGGTGATGAGCATGTTTCCAAAGTCAAAGTTCAGTGCCTTGTCAAACTCGAACAACAAGTTGGT